TTGATGAGTCAACAGATTTCACCAATAAATGTCATGTTATGGCATTTGTAAGATTCGTGAATGATGGTGAAATTCAAGAAAACCTTTTCTGCTCCAAAGAACATCATGAAACATGCAAAGAACAAGATGTATTTAAAGTTTTGTCTTCATATCTGGAAACAAAATGTCTGTCTTGGAGGAATTGTGTTGGCATCTGTACTGATGGTGCTCCATCAATGGTTGGCTTCATGAGAGGTTTTGTTTCTCTTGTAAGAAAAGAAAATCCTGGTGTTGTCACAACACACTGTTTTGTTCACAGAGAGGTGCTAGTGTCCTCTGGATGATGCTACAATGCTCTGGATGATGCTACAAAATGGTTAACTTTATTAAACAAAGACCAGTTCACTCAAGAATGTTTTAAAAAACTGTGTGAAAACCTGGACAAAGAGCACATAAGTCTCCTGTTACACACAAAATTATGGTGGCTCAGCACAGAAAGAGTTCTCAACAGGGTATCTGAGCTGAAGGCAGAACTGCAAGAATATTTTCAAGAAAATAGTATTCCACATTTTGCTGACTGCTTTGAAGATGGAGAATGGTTGCAGAAACTAGTATACTTAGTGGACATCTTTTATCACATGAACTGGTGTCCGCAAGGCATTGGAGAAAATGTTTTGACTTCAATTGACAAGATTCTTGGATTTAAAAAAACCCTGAATGTTTGGAAAAATCATGTTGCAAAAGGAAATATGGAAATGTTTCCACTGCTGCTTGGGCTTGAGATTGAGGAAGGATACTAGAATGTCTCAAATCTAACTGAAAACCACCTGGAAGTACTGCAAAACAAAACTGATCAGTAATTTTCCTCCCTTTCAACACAAATGTATGACTGGGTGAGGATCCTTTCTCTGCATCTTCTGCTCAGCACGAGAACTTCACTTTGAAGGAAAAAGAAGTAGCTTGTGAGCTGCAGCCTGATAGTACACTCAAAATGAGATTCACTGATCTGCCCATGGACAAGTTCTGGATTTCTGTGAAAGAGTATCCTGCCATTCACAGGAAGGCACCAAACATTTTGCTGCAGTTTTCAACTTCTTACATGTGTGAGCAAGCTTCTTCTTATTTAACAAACATCAAAAGCAAAGATAGAAATAGTCTTATTTCAGTTGAAGATGAAATCCCTGTGTGCTTATCTCAAGTTTGGCCCAAAATTGAGTACTTGTGCAGCAACAAACAAGCACAGGCTTCACATTAAAGAGGTAAGTTTCATTCTTTATTTTTAGTTTAAGAACACTGTTAATGCATATATACAGCCCTACACATAAAACAAATATAATAATTTTGTAATTTCTGGCCTATATTTGAGCCTGAATGTGCAGGGGTTCCCCAAAGCCTGAAAAATATTTGAAGGGTTCCTCCTGGGTCAAAAGATTGAGAAAGGCTGTGCCAGACTATAAAGGTGGATACTCTGTAGTAGCATTCTTATATATTTTAGCAAACAGAACTACCTTGCAGCCAATTTAAATCTTAAACTTGCCTCAACTTATCTAGTACCTCCAGGTGAACTAGCACCTTCATCAATCAGTATGGCTAAGGATTATATATCCTGAGTTGTAAGCCCCAAGTATCTGCAGTAATTCAACTTAGAGGAAAGTG